GTGAGGGAGTCCATTCCTCACCTTGTAATAGAAACTTTTAATAGCGTTCATATTGCCATTCATTAGTCAATGGAATTCATTACTTGCTGTGAATCGTCTAGTGTCTTGTCCAGTTTAATTTTCAGTGACACAAATAATGACATAGTTCCTCTGAGAAATTATTCATCATTTCACAAGAGTTGCATGTGGAGGCCTCTCTAGGCACATGTGCACTGAGTGGCCCTCTTAGCCTGAGACCATGACACATTTTTTTCAACTTTTAAATCATCTTAAAGAATTTCTCCCTTCTATCAGTAAAGGTATGTCTTCCTAATAAATTGTTTTGATTCTCTCAGCTGCCAATCAGTCTGCTTTGAGTGGTTTTCTTTGTGTATTTAGATTACTGGGTTATCCACATTCTTCCAGATTATTCTTTAAAACAATAACAATAAAACAAAAGCCAGATGAGTTGAAGTTCTGGGCCTGTCGTATACATTCCTTCAATCCTCCACCAATCATTTTGCAGCTGCAAACTGATGTGGCATATCCTCTGCTAAATGCTAAGGCTATGCAGCTAATTAAGAGAGGATTAAAGAGGTGACCATGTAGGTAGCAAAGAGGAGACAGACAGTTACCTTTCAGAGATCAAATAGGCAACCCATGATGGATTCAATATGGAAGATGAGGGATATGTATAAAGGAGGGGCAACTCTTTGTCTTGGTTGACTAGTTATTAGTATTGTCTGTGATGAGAAAGGCCATGCAAAAAAAGGATATTTGTACAATGACAGATGGTATTAAAACCTAAGGGATAAGCCATGTAATCCAGGAAAGCGTACAGGACTCAGCAGATCTCAGAGCTCCACATTTAGAAAGAACAGGCATAGGAAAGAGCCAGCAAAGGGGATTTCAAAAGGAGCCACAGTAAATGAAAGAAGAAAAAGGGGGGAAAGAAAAAGCTGAGAGCTGATGAGGGCTTTAATGAGGAAGTGATTAACTTTGCACAGCTTCTGAGAGTCCAGTGAGCTGAGGGTGGAAAATCGACCTTGCTGTTTGTCCAAATGGAGCTCATTAGAGGCCTTTGACAAGAATTTTAATGCAGTGTTAAGAGCATCACGCGGTTGTGATGAATTCTAAGTGGCAGATTTTGAAAATGAAACTGCACAAGAGAGAAGAGTGTGTTTCAAGTTACTTGGAAATGAAGGCTACATAGACGGAAAGATTTGTATCTTCATAAAAACCAACATCACATTGGCTTGTTTTCATTTTACACGTAACATTTTTTTATTGATCAAATTATTTGTAAAACAAAAAAGTCATGTGGCTTGGACACTTAGTTGATTCTCTTTAGATATATGGTCAGATAGGTAGATATATGGTCAGAGCTGAGGGCATGGGTCAGTCAGGAAAGAGCTTGCATTGTGAGCATGGCGACTTCATTTCAGCCTCTTGAACTCACTTGAAAACAAAGCCAGGCACGGTGTCACATGGTTATAACCCCAACACTGGGAAGGTAGGAAACAAAGAAACTATGGATGGACAGACAGTACCTGGGAGATTCCTGAGTTCTTCTAACTTCCACACACATGCATACCCACACAGGAATGTGTACACACATGTGAACACACATACAAAACAAGCAAACTCGGGCACTGTCTCTAACCACTTTCATGCCTCACAGAGACATTCTACAAGGCACACAAGAACATTGGAGTAAACATGTGAGTCACCATCTCAGCAAAATTCAGACTCAAAAGACTTTCCCAAACATTGCATATATATGCACCTAAGGGAGAAACACACAACAACAAAATGCGTTGGGATTTTCCTGGTTTCCCCCCTCACACTACCAGTGTGTCAGGGTCTGACACATAAGATAAACTGAACATCTTGGTAGCAATTGTTGCATCTGTTTGCTATTGTAGCATTGTTCATAATTGGCCTAGTTGAATGGTATTACATTTTTTGTTTACCCAACACAGATTTTCTGTGAAATAAGCATCCTCATATTGACTCCTTCTTTCTTTCTTCCTTTCTTTCTTTCTTTCTTTCTTTCTTTCTTTCTTTCTTTCTTTCTTTCTTTCTTTCTTTCTTTCTTTCTTTTCTTTCTTTCTTTCTTTCTTTCTCTCTTTCTTCTTCTCCTCCTCCTCCTCCTCTTCCTCCTCCTCCTCCTTCTTCCTTCTTGTTCCTTCTCCTCCTTCTCTTCCTCCTCCTCCTCTTCTTCTTCAAAATACAATTTGCCTGGAAAAGTTAATCCATTTGTTCTTGCTTTATGCTTCCAAAGAATCTTAGTACCATTGCTGTGACTCGTGGCCTGTGGCCTGTCAGGGTTATCTAGTGTGACTCTTGCTCAGTTCCAGAACAGTATAAAAAATATCACAGGCATCTTGTTTGTCAAATAGTATCCTGCATGTGTGAGCTAGTAAGACATCACATGGAAAACCATGGGCTTAGAATCAGACCTGAGTTTTCACCACAGTTCACTTGCTTACCTCCTGGGTGAGTTGGTCAAACTATTGGCTCTTAGTAACATTCATTTATAAAATAACACTATTTTTGCAAGAGAGGTTAGCGTGTTCAAATGTGAAATCACTTTGTAAGATGAACAAGGTTGCAACACCCAGTATTGTGAGGAAGTGAATAATCACACACACACACACACACACACACACACACACACACACACACACACACATTTATTTCCTTTGGATTTGAAATACCTGACACATTTCCCATACTAGCTGATCTTTAAACCTCCCTGATTTATTTGGTCACCATCCCCACCCCACCCCACCAGGTCTTGATTAAAATCTGTGTGATTCATTTGCTCATGCCTTCATCTAATCTTGCAGACTTCCAGACCCGCTATGCCCTTTGTTTGCATTTAATTTTAATGAAATTAAATAGGGGAGAAATGAGGAAGAGAGCGCTGTTTGTAGGAGCATCCTTTTTCTTTGCCATGTCTCACATTGACATGGGTGGCATTGGTATTCTGAGTTGGAATCTGTTGCTGGGCTCTTCGGGTTCTTTCCTATCTTTTCCCCTAGCTCCTACAACATGGAGCCTCTTCAGCATGTAGGCATCGGAAATCTCCAGTTCCTAGGCAGCACTGCCTTGTGATCCAAAACAAATGCAGTAACATATGGCTGTTTTCACCTTTGGCAATGGAGAGCCCCTCAGTGCGTGCAGCAGAAGGCTCTCTCCTTCTAGCTGACTGAACCTCTTCTAAGATTCCACCATTTCATTTTCAGAAGGACTGTGAGGCTCAAGACAAATGTTTCATAGTAATTGCTTTTAACTAGATGCTTCCATGCTTCGATTTTTCTGTATTATAAAGAGTTTTGCTTAACACACGTATTTATAGGGGGAAAAAAGAAGCCTTGCTGAATAGCAGTGCCAAGAAGACAAAGCATCCATAGGATAGAAGGATGAAAGCCCTGACATTCAGTCTACAGACTGCCGCCAAGAGCAGTGCCGAGCCAGATTTGTTTAGATGTGTTCTCACACTCCTGCCTCCCCCAAGCATGTCACCAGCATGAAGGTAGCATGCTGTTGGAGGCAAGGCGGAAACGAGAGCGCGTACCGTACCTTTGAGCTCCTCTTTCAGTAAGGCGTTTCCTTTCTGCCCTCCCCTGGGTATCCCTTCCAAACTGGATTCCCCGTGCTCAGCAGCTTCACCACAATGAGATTCCGACAGAGCTGTCCCGGTTTCCCCCTTTAGTCTTTCTGTCTGCTGACACGTGTTCTAAGGGTAGGCTGCCCAGGAGGTGCTGGTTTGATAATGCCAAGTTTAGCTCTAGCTGCAGAAAATCACATTTCGTGAGTGCTTTTTTGTCTTTCCTGGCGAGCTGACAGTCATAATAGCAACTAGATCTGCCATAAGTCTGCAGTGGGACTGAACCCTGAGAAGCTAGTGACTTTAAGGTTATGGGCATTGAGCTGTGAGTAGGGATAAACAAAACACACTCTGCCCAAAAGGCTTGCATGTCTCCCATGTGTCTTCCCCACCCCCTCCAAGGGGGGAGGGCCATGGCAGAGGTTTCCTTTGTACTCTAAAAATGCGAGCATCTTTGTATACATTTACAGACTCCTCTCCCTCTACACCTCAACCATTTTAAGAATCCGTGGCTCCCTGGAGCAGATGCTAAAAATCCAACCCCCATATTAATATCATAAAAACCACATCCTCTCGGGAGTTTACATTCATTTTGTTTTGATCCTATTTCCTGATTTTATCAAGCCCACTGCCTAATTACTTTATTTCATCAATGCGTGTGTATCTATAACTAGATTTGGATGTTGTTTAACAAATTTAGAGCCAGAGAGAAAGACTGTGAGACACTGTGTTGGGGTGTGGAATATCTGTGGTTTGGCCAGATAGGGATTAAAAGAAAAAATGTCTAGCTCCTAAGAACTAGTAACCAGAAGGACTTGGGTAGGAGATGATCCAGTTCTGAGAAATTTGTGCAAGACTGACACAGGAACTTCAGAACCTAAACAGACAGGCAGACTGGGTTTGCCTGACATGAAGTGAGGTCTCAGCACTCTGGAAGCTGAGGCATGAAAATCCTGAATTCTGAGAACAGCCCGAGCTACATAGCAAGAGCCTGTTTAGAAAATAATCTGGATATCTGTTGGTGGAGGTGTCAAAGTACCTAGATTATTTTTCTGATACAACTTTTAATCCTCCATGCCTTCAAAGTGGTTTTTTGCTAAAACGAGAATCTCTTTCAAGACTGAATATAGATGGGCTTTTTGCTTAAGAAGCAGCTTTCCTGGCAACTGATGTTAGAACTCAAGGTGGAGAATATCTGTGTTTTTCCAGCCTTCCATTTTAGTGGAAGTTCAGGGTGAAAATGAAAACATGTAGCTGTTTTTGAAATCAGAAAAATAATCTTAATGAAATGGTATAACACAAAGAGGAGCGGGATTATTTTCATAGAATGTAATGACTTCCACTGGTTTATCTGACTAAACATAACTTTGTTGCTTTTCTCCTTCTTCTGAAAACAAACTAACAGAGAAGAAAATCACGGTATTCTGACCTTGACTTTGAGGTAAGTCTCTCTGAATTACTTCATAAATTTAATTATTGAACTCAAGACTGATTTATAACTACTCAAACAATTAGCTCTGTGGATGTAGTCCTGCCATTGTGTGATCGTTATTTAAGGAAGCCACAGTTCTGAAATTAGGATCCTCCCTCCATAAATGGTTGGAAGTAGATGGTTTGGCATTCTGACTACTCCTCTAAGGATGTGCACAGCTGATGTTTTCTAGACAAGCAAAGGCCTCTTTCTAACAGTTGGGAGTGATAACTTGGGAAGTGAGCCTGTCAATCCAGTTCGTTGAGAGGTAGGAATGCCAATTTCTTGATTTTTTTTTTTAACCTAAGCCACTTTGGTCCAGTTTTACTTCAATGACTACCTGTAGAAATCCCAAGGGGATACTTTGGCTAGTTAGCAAGGCTTAGTCTGAGACTTCGCTTATGTTGTGCTGTTCTTCCTGTCCTGAGGGTCTCTGTGGTACATTCAGACTCGGTTTTTCCGGTAGCTAGTGTTGATTCATTGTGTGCCTGTGTTTAGTAGATATCTTTTCACAGATATAAACAAGATGAAAAATTTCATTTTTGCATTGAATTTTATATTGGTGCTGGAAGTCACTAAAACAATACCGTCTATATAGCTTATGCTCAGCACAAACTTAATGATGTTTAAGTATCACATAAATGCACTTATGCAGCTTGATAATTGAATGTGATTCATAGCCTGCTGACATAATTGGGTATAATATATGGTAAATTTCTCCAACATATTTGTACTCTTGTGATGCACAGACAGAGCTCAATACTCTTGACTGATATTCTGAAATTATAGAGTCCTCCCAGAATATGGAAACTTCTGGTTCAATCTTTCCATTTGCGTAAGTGAATATTGTGGTCCCACAATGTACGATGCATGTCAGTGTGCAACTTAGTGATTTTTATCTGTCATAATGGTGGAGGATGCTTTCATGCTGAAAGGGTGTCCAAGGAAAATGATTTTGTTTAGTAGTAACTCAGTGTGTATGCCACAAAATAATGATAAAGAATCCAGCTTCATTGCTTAAATCACAAATATCTAGGCAGCTCCATTGTGGTCACCTATCATGAAATCTATATTTTGATGAAACCTAAATTTTTAACCAAAAGTACCAAATATGTTTTAAAAAAAATTAAACAAACTATTTAGCAATCTTCACATTTGAGTCTTTTGTGTCCTTTAAGGAACAAATACTGTGTTAATCCTTTAGGTATCAAAAGAATAAAGAATCAAACTGTATCTGTTTGTATGTGTTATGTACAGCATCCCCTTTCCTGTGACTACATAAAGTAAGTTGTGTGTGTGTGTGTGTGTGTGTGTGTGTGTGTGTGTAGTCCTGAAAGCAATTATCTGTTATGTTATCACAGAAGAATGAACATACACATAAACCCACTAGACCAGTGACAAACACAGTAAAAACCTAGATCTAACATTAAGCCTCACTACAACCAACAAGTTATGTAATAGCAAAACCAAACATTGAGAAGAAATCCTAGCACTCAGGAGGTGGATCTTTGTGAGTTCAAGGCCAGCTTGAACCACATAGCAATTTGCAGGCCAGGCAGAGTTCATGGTAAGAACAAAGCTGGAAACAAATTAAATCACATTGTGTTACTGAGATCGTTAGAAGAAAACTGTTCATTTTTTATTCCCCCATTTACTCTCTATGGCAACCGCTCGCAGCTTCCCTAAGCAGATGCTGTGCCTTGTATCCACACATCAAGCCATAGTGTTAACAAAGATATGTTAGTGGAGAAAAGTTGCAACACAGAACTGTGTGATTTCCTTAGCTCTGTAACTACTGTAGTCATCGCAAGGAGGAGTTGAAGCTTGAGGGGCAGGGAACACTCGAACATTATTTTTCCCTTATTGACCATTTGGTGTTCCTCCTTTTCAGCACATAAACAATTACAGGGATATGACAGATAGTGACAGATATGACAGATATCCAAAACAAACAGACAAACAAAAACGGCTGTTTTTAATTTTTTCATGATGCTAACACATATATGTGTAATTTGGGATTGTCAACAAGGAACAGAATACCTCCCTGTCCCCTCTTCTTAATTCAGACTGGACTAGTTTGACTTTATGTCAAGGTCCCTGCTACCCTTCTCCCTGAGTGGGATTTACAATACAATGATCACCTTGGATATTTTACCCTTGCCAGGCTGCCTTGTGGACTCCTGAAAGCATTGTCCTGTCAAACTTTTTCCTTTACACACTACCCAGGGATCATATACAGTTTTAATATTTTGTTAATGAATTGTCTTTAAAACATGAAGATTTCTCAAAAGATTCAGAACAGAACTATAGCATGACCCAGCTCTCCCACTCCTAGGCATGCATCCAAAGCACTCCATGTCCTCTGTTTACTATCACATTGTTCATATTAGCAAGGAAGCAGAGCCAGCCTCTGTATCCATCAACACAATGGATAATGGAAACAGGGTATGTAGACACAAGGAGTTTTATTAAGCCATAAGGAAAAATGAAATTTGGAATAAAATGGATGGGTCTGGAAAACATTACATTAAATGGGGTGACTCAGACTCAGAAAGAGTTTTTTAAAAATAACACTCTGTCTCCTATATGCGCATTCTAACTTTTAATGTTTTGATGCACGTAATAATGGGGTGTGAAGGTACAGACCTTGAAACTTGTTTTACCTGATCAATCTATCCCAAATATTTCTAACATAGTTCACCTTTAAATTATTTGTCAGATGGTAACAGGTTACTTCCCACTAGTAAACAGATAAAAAATTATAACATATTTGGACCCAGATATGGACATAATTCCTGGGGAAGCCAGCTCTGTCTTGTGGATGTATTGATCCACTCTGACCTGGTATGGCCCCTTAATCACCAGCCCCTCACAATATGACTTTAAGAATTAAGCTTAACCCCCTCAACATACATATTTTTATCAATATGATTACTTACATTCTCTAAAGATATTTTCAAAAGGCCACTCTAGAGAGGTGAATGAATGTACAGAGCACTAATGAACAAACCTAGCAGTAGGTTTGTCCAGGCAGTCTAGGTCTATAAAACTTCTAAGGCTGGAAATGGTGGTTCCCCAAACTTGTTTCTAATTCATGTGAGCATAGGTTCCCCAGGCCCTCTGCTCTAAGTTGAATTAGGAAAGTTTCTGACATTCTCTAGCAATTCACAGCAGCTTAAAGAATCCATACACTGTAGTATATCTTCTCTTTATAGTTCAGACTCTTTCCCTATAGTTCAAACACAACTCTGTGGTTCACACTTCTAAATTTGAAAGTGAAAATCACCAGTTTATTGCAAATCTACTTGTCAGTTCCTTCAAACCACTTTTGGAGGGGGTGAGAATGCATAACAGGATGAGACTGAGAAGGCAGGGCTCCTGCCTGAAGTCATTGTCACCAATATGCCTTGAGGCTCACCCATGGCTCACAACAACCTGTAGCTCCAGTTCCAGGGGGCATTCTGTGCCTCTGGCCACAGCAGGCACCTGTACTCATATGCAAATACCCTCCTCCAGACACACATGTGTACACACAATACTAAAATAATTTTAATGGGCTGGAGAGATGCCTCAGAGGTTAAGAGCACTGGCTGCTCTTCCAGAGGTCCTGAGTTCAATTCCCAGCAACCACATGGTGGCTCACAACCACCTAATGAGATCTGATGCCCTCTTCTGGCATGGTTCCCCCTTCTGGCATGCTGGTGTATATGCAGACAGAACACTGTATACATAATAAATAAATAAATCTTTAAAAAAATTTAAAAGTAAATATTCCTTTCAATGGAGAAATGTTTTTAATGGGAGGAGAAGATAACATTTATAGTAGTTTTCTATGATTCGGGCAGCCTCCTTGCTTACATGCCTATGCTACCCCAATTCATTTCATTTATTCAGTTAACATTCACTAAGCCTCTGCTAACTACCAGACAGTGTGTTAGGTGTTGAGGAGGCACAGAGAAAGCGATCACTGTCTAGGAGTTGTCCTGGGGGAGGGGGGGATGAGTGCCAGCATTAAAAATATTGTAGTACTGCAAAATAGTTTCAGGTACTCAATATCTAGAGAGTGGGGGGCCTACTACAGAGATGCATAACCCCTCCTAGCCCTCTTTTCTCCCATCTGAACGGAGCATAATTTGAAACCCTGAGCAGTCTATAGCAGGATGCTTTCCGAATCTCTGAGATACACCTAAGACAGCTACATGCTGAGCTGACTTGGAGACTCAGCTCACTTACCCCTTGCAAGAGCAAACTGCCTCCTGTGCTTCAGCCCAGTCCTAGTCAATGAAGTGGAGGGAATGGCTGCTGCCTACCAGGGTTACTGGGGAGGGGGGAGGCTTTAGAAAAACAGCATTGGCTACCTCCTCTTCAGTGGGCCTTGTCTGTGTGGTCCATCCTTAAATGTTTTACATCCTTTGTAAAACCTTCATGAGAGTCCTACAAGGTTGCCTCATTGCTGAAGCTGCAGCGACAGGGAGACCCGAGTTCCTGTTCCAGGCCATCAGACTTGAAACTGATGGAATTTCCACAGGTCCAGAGCTATCACACTTAGTATACTCCAAGAATTTAAAGGGTCTTCAAGAGTTCTTAGGATATAGTACATGCTTAAGACATCAGGTTATTTTATAATCTCTTTTTTAAAAAGTATCCAAATTATAGTGAATGTGCTTTATAACATATCACTATTTCTCTAATACCAATAACTAACGGGTTCCAAAGGTTGCATTTTTTAATTATAAAAGTATAAATTGAAAGAGTTTCCAACACTAAAAGAAATTTTGTTTTTGTTTTTTGTTTGTTGTTGCTGCTGTTGTTAAATGTTTTTAATAAAAAAAATGAAGAAGAAATAAAGGATTAAGCTGCTTGGGAAAGCATATACATGTAGTCAGCCTGGTGTTCATCTTGAGACAGAGATTCATGAATCTTTCAAAAAATGTTAAATGATATTAATCTGAGTGGAAAGGAATATTACTATGCACTGATTTTTATTGCAAAACACTCCTAAAGTACTTGCAGTGAAATATAATGAAAGTAACTGAATTCTGAAGATATTGCCAAACAGACAATACTTTTGTTTTTACATAGAAAATACATGTTAGAGTTTTATCATCATTTTAAGAGTTTTAGAAAACTGAGGTATAAATTGAGTTTTTCATAGAAGTTGATTTATTTGAGAAACAGGATATTTAAGTCACAAAAGAAATAAAGAAGTGAGCAAAGCCTTAGGTTAGCCAGGATCCAGGAAGAGTCATCAAAATGGGCCGATAAACTTGAGAAGCATGAAAAAGTCTACCTAGGTCTCTAAGATCATCAAAAGTATAAAAGCCACACATGAAAAGTTTCTCAAGCAGGTAAGGGGAAGAAACCCTTAATATTTTGTAAAATCTGAAAGTGTGGCTAGGTTTCCAGCCCAGAACTTTGCTGGATAGAAATCTGTCGCCATTCACGTGTAAAGCTAGCATTCTCATCGAGGGAACCTCTCTCATTCTCAATGAAGGAAGGAAGACGTACTTGAGACCATGGCGAAGGAGGAGTTACGCAGGGGAAGACAAACTGAGCCTGTCAGGGACGGGAGCTGTAGTTGACGGCCCTTCCAGAATGCCGGCTATTACAGCTGTGGTGGTTCCTGGCAGAGCCACAGGGGCCATTTCAGTTCAAAATGATTATCTGGCAAGAGAATATATTTGCCACTAATGTTTGCAAGTAGGGAAGGTTCTATATTTCTGCATCCAAATTACCATTTGCCTCCATCTTTACTGCAGGATATTTTAGCTTTATTATTAGAATACCTTTCATGGAACTATGTGAAATATTTCAAAATGATCTCTGTTTATACAACATTGGCAGCCACCATAACTTTATATTTTCCACTGTATATTTTTAGTGTGTCCAACCAATCTAATTTAAAAAAAAAAAATCAAATCCATCAAATTCAGAATCAAGTACCGCTCATTCAAACAGACTGTATCCAGAAAACTCGCAGTCTGTTAAGGTATCAAGTTTCCCAATGAGATGTTTGACATAGACATTGCTTTTTAAACATTCTTTGTAGAACAAAGGTATTTGATGGCCAGAATCATGACAAGACTTTAAATAAGACACAAACACAAACAAAAAGATTCCTGTTGGAAAGATGTGGACTAATTCAGCTCTTGGCCGGGGAAGAGTAGCAAATTTGATTGACATTCCCAACAAGGTGGGACTAGAGAGCTTCACCCAAAACACAGTAACATCAGCTCACAGGGTAAAGTATAAACAGAGCTGCCTGAAAAACATGATCGTCCGATGCCTGTAGCCAAAGTGTTGTTCCTTTGGTATCAGGCTACTTCCAGAGGATGCATTTCTCTTCTTTAAGGAGGGATGGTTTTGCTAAGGGGAAGAGATTCAAGAGCATGGTTGAAAATAGAGCTAGAAATCAGAATATTCAAACTAAAAGGAAGAAGAGAGAGAATATAGACCACCAGAATCATAATTAATCATTTTTAACTTAAATATGAACTTGTGACGATTTGGCAATTGTCTTATTTGTGTTTCCCATAGTTTTCCCCTAACTTATTTAACGTCCGTGTGTATTTAATCACAGCTATAAATTTCCATTTATTTGAATTACAATGCAATTAATTCTGGTATTCTCCATTAGACTTTGAACTGATAGGAAGCAGTAATCTAGCATTTAGCACGATGTGAGGTGTTGATAAGAACGCATTAAATGATGCAGTGAAATGTGCTGAGTGAAATGATGGTGGTGTGACGTCACCCCCACACAAAAGGAAATGACTGTGCGGTGATGTTCATTGCTATGAAAATGTAGTTTCTTTTTAAGCATTCTGTGTGTCACAGGGCTGTAATTTAATGACTGTTTTAGGACCTAGTACTTCATAGAACTATTTACCTACCAAGCATGGAGTATACTGAATTACTTTGCTACCTACCATGGTCCTCAGAATCCCTCCACTGAGTTGCTTATGCAAATCCTCACTCTCATAAATCACCATCAGCCATCACTAGTCAAATTACGTTTGCCTGGTGTTTCTTGCTCAGTCCCGCAAACCTGTTCATGTCCTCTCTTTGAGACTGATGGGAAGTTAATGGTGCTTTAATTGCTTGCTATGTTTCATGCCCTATCATGAGTCATGCTGCCGTGTTCATCCTCAACCACCTGATTTTTCAACAGCCAAGTCCTAGCGCTCCAGCAGCAAGATGGAAATTGGCGACTGCATGACTTAAAATGGCAGGATTCTATCACATGAATCGTAGGGCTGTAGAGAAGCAAAACACATCAGCCTCACAGTGAATTACCAAGACACTGCTCACGGAGTGAGGAGACTCAGGTCTGCAGAGGAGATGATCGGCTTTGGCAATATGTTAAAAGATTCAGTTTAGCTTTCCGTTTGTCCTTCTCCCTGTTTGTCCTCTTTGTAAGCATCTATTTAGAAAAAAAAAATGAAGTGTTACCAGTCTTTCCCCAAAAGATATATTTATTTTTCTCAACAAATCCTCACGTATGAAAATATTTGCTAACTAAGACAGTGGGCCAAAAGTTCAAATCAGAGCCCAGACATCAATCTAATAGCCTCATTCAAACCACATTAAGCAAATGGTGTTCGGATGTGTAGGTTTGAAAATACTGTGAACTCTTAAACATGACACCAGAGTCCTGGAGAATGACCAAAATGCTGATTCATAACTTTTGAAAGTCAACATCACCACAGAAGGCACTTGTAAATATGGAGAGTTTATTCTCTGACTTTTCTACTAGTGTCCTTTAAAAGCTTTATAATAGGAAAATATTCAAATGCCCCAAATGCCCCAAGATCATTTTTACTTACAAGCCCATTGTTGGGTTATAATGAAATTGAGAGAAATGCATATAACTCGAGAAGAAGGGAATTAATATACTTGTACCTGTGATTTTAATAGCCCATCCGCCACACAATGTGTGCTCCAAGCCGTGACTGCTAAGATTCTGCACCATCTGGTAAACAAGTATATGACACCTATGGGCCAGATTTCCCTTCTGCAAATCTCTGCAGTTTTATCCACGTGGAGAGTGCAAGGTCTTAGATCCCACACATCTTCCAGGCTCTTTAGAGCTCTGAGTCAGCATTAATGGCAGGACCTGGGATTGTGTTCCCCCTTTAGTACAGTGAGCTCCGTTTGTACTGTTTATAGAAGTAAGACATAAAGAAGCAATATTTCCCATGACAAACATCAAGGGCTCACGTGCTTTACCAAGTCCAAATTTTTTAACATTTTCAAATTACTGCAACAATTTTTGCAGAATAGACTTAGCTTTCAAAGGATGAAAATCTTACACAAGAATGATGGCTGTGTTTTAATACACCCATCAGAAGAAGAAACTTACTTTTTTATAATCTTGTGAGAGGAGAGAAAAAGCCCCTTCTTTTTCAGAAGGAAATAAGAATAGGGAAAAGGATCTGGGACATGTCACTTGCATATGTGGTATCTTTGGGGACTACTGGCTCCTGCCTGACTTAGTTTCCCTTAGTATTAAACAGCTTTTAAGAACATGTGAGTCAAATTAGGAATGAGAGCCACCCTGTTCTCTCTTGCAGAAGGTCATGCACACAAGGAAGAGGCACATGGAATTGTTTCAGGAACTAAATCAGAAGTTTCAAACTTTGGACAGATTTCGGGACATACCAAATACAAGCAGTATGGTGAGTATATTCTACATCCACAGTGCCCCACGTCAAGCTGGGCCACATGTGAGGCCTGCTGTGACCCTTACCCTCCAGGACAACTAAAGAACAAACAAAACAAAAAAAAAAAAAAAAAAAAACTAGTGCACACAGGAACATTAACAATCCCAAAATGCACTTGGGAAAGGTCACCAGAAATGACAAGATTCTTTAGGTATATCATTCTACTTTCAAAGGTCTTCCCTGATAAGCTTTAATTAGGATTAGGTATATATCAAAAACAAGTTGGTTTCATATGGCCATTTTCCCACCAGTTAAAATTCAGTTCAAATCTCCAAAGAGTTTGCTAAATTTTCCCATTGTTATTCTGATGCCTGCCATTTTAAGGCCACAAAAGATAATACTGGTATAAATAAGAAAGCTAAACCAGAATAGTACAATTTTATCTCCAGAAGCCCCATTTGTTTAGGGATGTGAATTTTGGATAAAGGCCAGCATCAGGAACTTGGGTTGTTGGTTGTAACCATTTCCTCCTCATTCATTCATACCACTGCCATCCTAGTATAGGACTCCATGAAATTAACTCTGCGCCGTGACTCAGGGCATGGCACAGTCATCGCTTCAGAGAAGGCTTCATCACCACTGGTAAGTGTACTCTGCCAGGACTCTAGGAATTTGAACTACTTGAAATGGCAGCAAGCAACTACCTGAGCTTGAGCAAGTCTTGCAGGTCTTTGCTCCTAAAGCTTGACTTCCTCTCCTTACATGGGACGCAGAAAGTGGCAATGGATGGTATGTACTGGCTTCAGCCCTTGCGACATTCCAAAAGCAAAGGTGAGGACGCTGGGGTAGACTGGGGTCTGCTGCCTCCCACCAGCTCTTCCGCTCACATGTGGTGTTCCAGGGGCAATGCAACCCCTGGGTAGTTCTTTACCAAACAGTAATAGATAAATGATCAATGGATGGATGGATGTAGGTAGATGGTAGATAGATAGATAGATAGATAGATAGATAGATAGATAGATAGATAGATAGATAGATAGATGATAGATAGATAATAGGTAGGTAGATAGATAGATAGATAGATAGATAGATAGATAGATAGATAGATAATAGATAGGTAGATGGTAGATAGATAGATGATGATGATAGATAGATAGATAGATAGATAGATAGATAGATAGATAGATAGATAGAAGAGATAATAGATAAAATGTTAGAGGTGTATAGATAGATGAAAGATGTAATGTATATTGCTTATACCTATATTACTTCTATTCTCAATATATATGAGTAACATGGTGTTTGATCATCTTCTAATGATTCGTCTATATGTATCTTATGAGTCAGTCTTAGCCAACTGTCTAAGGAAATTAGTGCATGAAAAACTAAAGGATGAAACACAGATATCCTCATATTTTTTCTTCATTCGTCTCCGTACTTACACATTCCTGGTCATGGTAAGTTACTGGTAAATGGCAAGCATGGATTTATTTCACAGCAATAATAGCTCAGTCAATTTTTAACATCTCTAACACAAATACTAGATATATTGAAGATGTGGACACTTTGTGTTTTGTGAGTGATTCATTCTCATCTACTTCTCCAAATATTAAATCATCAATTTTCAGCTAGCAGCAAATGAGAACAACACCACTGAGATTAGACCTAAATGCATTAGCTGCTCATTTCAGAATATTGAAAGCTAACATGAAAATAAAATGAAGAAACATCGGAACATCATTTTTTTTTAAGCAGAGGTTGTGTTTACAAGTCTGAAAGGCTTATGCAACAGCTACAGCTGACTAGCTGCTATAATATGATTGTAATTTCCCCTTGTTGTGTAAATTACAACAACAACTGGTCTGGGTATTAAATCATTAATGGCACAAATGTCTGTGTCTAGGTTTCCTAACAACCAAAACAGTCTACTAATTACAGCACATCTCTGCAGTAGTGTACCTTTTCCAGAGGAGAATTATAAATATTTACCATCGGGGAGTGGGGAAGAAACAGTCGTTATTGCTGCTTGACTATTGGCCCAGATATCCAAGAATACAAAGAAAGGGTCCTTTATTCAGCCCTGATTAATAATAAACATGCAAATGAGTTCATTATCCTTAATTTAGGCACATAACTTGTAGGGATACATTTGCTAATGAAAAACTGTGTAATTGGAAAGAGAAAGACATTTTTAAGAGAACTCAGTTTCTCTGTCTTGAGGGGAGGGCTGCTACTTGTCAGCAACTGCCCACCACTGCTGATGATAGGCATTATGCAGAACAATAACAGATGGAATCAAAAGAACACTAAAATATAATTTTGTGGTGGTATTGTGTTCCCCAAAATATCGTGTACCTTAATAAACTTATCTGGGGTCAGAGAACAGAAAAGCCACTAGTTAGGCAGTGATAGCACACGCCTTTAATCCTAGCATTCCAGAGACAGAAATCCCTCTGGATCTCTGTGAGTTCAAGGCCACATTGGAAACAGCCAAGCATGGTGACACACGCCTTTAATCCCAGAAAGCCAGCCTTTAATCCCAGATAGTGGTGGTAGAAAGCAGAAAGATATATAAGGCGTGAGGATCAGAAACTAGCAGCATTTGGCTGGTTAAGCATGTGACTGGTTAAGCTTCAGGTTTTCGAGCAGCACAGTTCAGCTGAGATTCGTTCGGGATGAGGACACAGAAGCTTCCAGTCTGAGGAAACAGGACCAGCTGAGGAACTGGCAAGGTGAGATAGCTGTGGCTTGTTCTGTCTCTCTGATCTACCAGCATTGACCCCAATAACTGGCCTCGGGTTTGATTTTATTAATAAAAACTTTTAAGATTCCTGCTACATAATTTAGTCCATTTTCTTACTTCAAGGCAGGAAGATATATGCAACACCCCATGAAGCAATGGGCACTTCTAGATGACCCCAAGATGAAACTCTTTTACCCCGAGTGGTTTCACAATTTAGTCAAGATCTCTTTCCCCCAAGCAGCTTCTAGGAATGCATGATCTTTTAGAACAGTCATCCTCTCTTTTGCTTTGTCTACAAAGGAGAGGATTGGCAAATGAAGGAACCAAAGAAAGGATGATAGTAATGAGGAAGGAACAAAGTAGAAAAGAGATTTGAAGGGACTTAGTCCTACTGGGCCTTTAAGGCATTCCTGGCTCCATCAGCTATTAAGGATGTTCAAACAGCCTGCCATGCTTGGGATGGTTGTGAATTCTCATATTCACCTAACTGATGTGTCCTGGAACCAAATTTGTGTGTTCGGGAGCTCTATGTATGTTGGATTACAATGGCCCTGTAATTACTAGACTTTTAACACTCCATTGAACCATCTCCTCCTCCTATACATGAAGTCAGAAGACAAACAATGGTAGTGCAAACTCAGGAACTTATACAAGTCACATCATTTCATACCATTATAGTCAGGCCTCCGTTGAAGCCTTTTCCAGCCTATGTAGCTCTCTCTGTAGAATTCAATGATCCCTTCCAGCTGTTTCACAGTTCAGCATTCACTTGAGCCACAGAATATATGAGGCTCTTTCTCTTAAGAGAGTCTGTACACTACTCCCATTGCCAGACCCAACACACAGGAAGATGAGCAGCTTGTGGGCACTGGCCCTGTCCACTGGCCACTAACTCACTGCCTGCTTGTAGCTGGGTTCTGCAACCATTCCACATGAAAGGACATACCTGTTGAAGGGGCTACCACATATTCATAAATGAGAATGAGAACATGGTCAAGCTGGGAGTGCCTTAGGATAATAACAGAAGTTAGTAAGAAAGCCAATTACAAATAAATACTGAATGTCCCGGAAATTCAATTGATTACACACTGAAAAATAACACTATGCAATTGGTAGCTAGATAGTTTGCCAATGCTTAAACTTGGCGATTTTTGTTCAAGTGCTTGACCATTAACATATTTTTTAAAAGGGGAGAGAGGTTCCATCTGTTCAAAACTTAACAGCAAATGAACTAGCATTTTGAATTCCTGTCAGAGTTGGTATTATTGGATTTTCCAACACACTGAGCAGTCCCAGAAATCTCTTTTAAACACTGCTCTTGTCTAAAATAGATGAGTTCACTCTGGACTTGCTGTGGCAGAATCCATAGTGATGAATCTTTCCTTTGATGGTTGGTTGTTCAGGGCCCCACAGCACCTCCAGACTTTCAACTATTTGCGTCTGCCTACAAAATAAATTCCAAGTTGAGGAGTTTGCTACTCCAAGACCCTCATACTTTGGCTCTGTTCACCATCTGCATGTTTTTGTTTTTGCTCCTTTCTTTCTCATGCCAATTAGAATGAATAAAAGTGACTGTTACCATGGTTTGCCATCTCAGCAGTCCGAATTTTGATATCCTGTATAACCACCCAGCCTCAACCACACATATTCCTACCAACCGTACTTTTCTGTGCCATATTAAATGCCACTGTTCTAGGAAACAATGATGTGCTTCACACAAATAAGCCATCCCTGGACTTCCCTTCGATCTCCTGTATCACTTTTACTGGAACACAGATGTGAAACAGACAAGGAGGAAGTGGGTAAAAGAAGAAGATCATAGAAGGCGAAATTATGATCAACATACATTATTTGCTCAATAGAACCATTCCTTTGTGAAATTATTTTACACGAACTCAAAGTATGTAACTTTCATTTGATTATAATCACCTTCCATAATAAATATACTTATTACATAATAAGCATGGATTTAGTTCCTCACTGACACTTAAAAACTGTTTTCAAGTACACAAAGAAGGTATTGATTCACACATGTCATTAACATCTTTACCACACAATACAAAGGCTATCTCTGTTATGAAAGTATTCAAATTCAGGGTTTAGGTAGAAGGAATGCATTGCTCAAGGTCACATTCATATTGTGAGAGGAACTGGTATGTGGACGTATATGTATCGGACTTTTAATCTTGGGTTCCCTGGTGGACCGTTCTGCATTTCCAGATGGGATTTATTATTTTTGCCTTTGGACCTAATATAATAGGCAGGCAAAAGCATCTGGTAAAGAGTACTGGTTGAAGGAAACAGGGCTGAGACATGACATTTTTAGCATGTAAAGCTGAATAATCTCCTTCACCTATCCTAAAAGTTCACACTTCGTTAGATCTTTACTATTAGGTATTTCTCTTTGATTTCTTCATAAGACTAATTCCAGAAAACATCTAATGTACTCAGTATTTTAGGGTTTAATCTATAGATATAACTATTTCTATAGACTATTTTGCTTGTTTATACTTTGATATGAGGTTTGAAGTACTGAGTGGAACCAATATAAAAACCAAGTAACACTGTGTGTTCCACTTAGTAATTGATCATAATGAATTGAAGACCAGATTTGGGGAGGAGGCTAAGGCATTTATGACAACCAGAGTATTTTTATTAATCGGAGTCTCCTATAAACAAAGAATGAGAACACAATTTCAAATGAACTTAGTAATCTTGGAGAATGAATTCAAGGGCTAATCGAAACTAAAAAGAGTTGGAAAGGAACCAGGGGTATGGAAATTGTTTAGTGCAGCCAAGTTCAGTTGTCTCTCATGAATAATGATAAATTTAAATGAAGTTCTGTATCCAATTAAAACCTGGACTAGTGTAAAAATGACAACCTTCACTTGACATTTCCTCTTGCAACATTAAATAAATTCAGCTTTAATCAATACTCTACTTAATTTGGCTTCCTTCAGATTAACTGCTGTTTTTTTCAGTGTTTGGGTTTAATCTTCTTCTAAGGAGTTCTCAGTCATGATTTCCATCTCATTCTTTAATGATATTTAGCTTATTCTGTGCCATTCAAATTCCCCCACTTACACAAATATTTAAGTGACATTGGTTTAAAATGAATCGAATTCACTAGTAAATCTTAGACTATCAGATGAAGGCATTGCTGTGGGAGTTGATTCATTTACTTACTGAGCTCTACAGGATGGCAGCTGTGAAAGCCTGCACACTAAAGCTTGTTTAGTGTGGATCAGTGGGTATACACATGTTGAAATGTTCCCCAGTATTGCTGGATACATTTTCCATACAGCTGTGATCTTTAAAAGGAAGGACAATGGGTCTGTCACTCAACCACATAGAGTATCTTGGAGAGCAAACATCCAAAAAACACAAAGCAAGAGAATATAACAACATATGGATAATAAAATATGCTAATTCCTTGAAGGAGAAAAAGGACTTCTTTTTTTTAGTGAACTCCTACTAGGCTGAATGACTATTTGGCATTAAACAGGATGTCCTGAGAACTAGATTCAGATTTGTTTACTTTGCTAAAATTTCTGCCACAATCTTTAGATTTTCTACACTTAATCTTATCAATGACTTCACTCTCTTTCATATTTCTTTGAACAGTCATAATGACATTCAGATATATCATCTGCTTTGCCTTCCATGGTACTTTCACATCTTTCAATTCCTGAAATATCTTTGATAACTAAGAAAGCATATTCTTCACTTTGTCCCATGAAAGAAAATTTAAATTGAAAATACCCTTTGCAGCTACCCTCAATTTTCAATCATCTCTGAATCCTGTAAACTGTATACTCTCTTTCTGGGAGCATGAGCAAGCAGTAATACTAATCATCCACTAAAGAGCTTTGTTCTTCTTCTCAACAGGAAAACCCAGCAGCAAACAAGAACCCATGGGACACTTTCAAACCCCCCAGCGAATACCAACATTACACCACAATCAATGTCTTAGACACAGAGGCGAAGGATGCTTTGGAGCTGAGGCCTGCAGAGTGGGAGAAATGTCTGAATTTGCCTCTGGACGTGCAAGAGGGTGACTTTCAAACAGAAGTGTAACACCATCAAAGCGAACTGAGGTGGAGACACAATCATTTGACACTGACACTGAGATTGGGGAATCCTGACATTTCCACCTGGACAGTGTGACTTTTCTCTGTCAGGACCTTTCTGTGCCAACATCAGTGTTTGCATATGGTAATTTCTCACTGGTCAGGCTAGTGTACAGTTCTCACCACCCTGTGTTGTAAGTACCCGTGGAATGGATTTGAAGGTAATCTTTCTAGATAAACCTCAAGCAACGATTCATGTTGTAACAGCTTCATGTGGTTTAGTTTTCAGAAAACTTCACCATGAAGCACAATGTATATATTTATGCAGTTTTTAAAGTTTATAACAGTCTGTTTGGCCATTACTACACTTTTTACTTTATAATATAAAAGCAAAGTTTTTGTCATTAAATGAATGTTTGTTGAGCTACATTCTTCATTGCTTTAAATGCAATAAAGTAATAATCTCACTTTTATATGAATAATATATTTCACATCTTTATTATTGCAGTTTTCTCTAGAAGGCTCTGAGTAGCTTTCTCTGCTGCAGCTGTGTATAAAATATTTAAAATGTTGTATGGTGTAAATAAACTTTTGTCTACATATCAGTTTTTTAGTGCATTTTATTTTGGATTTGTTGAACAGGAATTTACATATTTATAAAGTTTTCTTTTTCAATACCGACACTGAAAATGTATTCAGAGTTTTAACAGCATACCATTATTACTCCTTTGAGCCTAATGATTTCTCAATGTAATGACAGGTTTGCATAGTGCTTCTGTATTTCCTACTTAGACACCCTTTGGAACAATGTACCATGTAAATGGGGCTTGTCAGAAATCTGCGACCATCATCCTCTTCATAACGTTATGTTCTTTTCTGTCTTCTGGCAACATGACAAGTGGCAGAAAACAGTAGTTTACTCAACAGAGAATGATGCAGGGAAAAATGTGTGAGGTGATTCAGTTTGTTGAATGTTTCACAGAAAACCATTTCTACCGGAGTTCTTTATAACATAAACATCAATGAACTTCTTCGGGACCTTAAATATCCACTCTGCATACACTCCAGCAGAAGGAAAAGGAGAATGGATGTAATTGTCTCTGGTTTGAAAGTTTGAAGCCTGAGATTAGCCAGTTGTACAAGCAGTGCCCAGTGCCCCCTCTCTCATAGTGATGCCTCTTGCTTGCTCAGACACATGTTCCAGGAAGGTCAAGAAGGCATCCGGCAATTGCCAGGGCCTTTGGGTGGCTGGAGAATGTATCTTGCAGTCCGAAGCATTGAAGGTAACGGGAAGAAGATGAGGGGTATCCTCAAATGTCCTCAAATGCTTAATTTGATTAGCTTTTAGTTACACCTGAGCTGTGTGGTCTGTGTTTGGAACTCATGTAGATCAGTTCCTTCTCCTGGCAACCTTGGCGACCTTGAGGGACCCTGGGGGACCCTGGTACTTAGGTTGCGAAGGAGAGACAATGGTGCTTCAGTCTTCAAGTGCGCCTCTGAGCTGGAGCCTTAACCACACAGCTCAGGCAGAACCCCTGTCCCACGCTGAAAATGTTCTCAGTGTCAAGGTGTTGAAAGTATATTTTTAATCAGATTTTAAAGATAAAAGTGGTATCATTATGCAAAAAAGGAGTATAACATAAAGATTTTTTCAATAAATTAAATGCTAATTATGATATAATTGTAGAGTCTATTGAATTTATAAGATGACTTTTTTGGTGAGAAGGAATATTTGATAAACCTTCCCCTTCTCTGACTCTTTCTCCTCCTTTTTATCCCACCCTACATCTCTCTCTTACATATGTACACACACGTGTCTCTTTGTGTGTGTGCACATACATTAGGACTTATAGTTCTCTGCTCCATCTCAGAAACCTATAGCTATGAATGCAACTGTATAGAAAGTCACTCACTCCAATTTGTAAAATCTAAAAGTTTTTGAAAAATTGCATTAGTCAGATGTTTCAAAATATAAATTCAATAAGTTTTAAAACGTAGAAGTTCAATACATTAATGTTTCTTCTAAATATTTACTATCCTAAAATAAACCCTTACATTTCTAGTAATTCAGTATTTCGTGGCTGTTAATCAGAAATTGCTTACCAAGATAACTGGGGCTGGAAGTTTGGGTTTGCTAGGAGGCATGCCAAGTTACCAGCATGGTTGATTTCTCTGCTTTTGTTTTTTTAATCCATATTTTAAAAATACAGATTGAAAGGTCCTTAGGAATCTGAAGTTCAGGAAGCCTCATTCTAGTCGGTCCCGTTCTTTCCCATACCTGTGTGCCTGCACACAGGCGCGCTCACACACACACACACACACACACACACACACACACACACACACACACACATGTTCAAGGCTGAGTTGCAGCTGTCTCCTTCGATGGGGACTACCATCCAGTCTCGGACACTTCCTTCCCAACTGATTTGTACTCAGAACCCTCCAGGCTCTTTGTGCCCTTGCACTAGGCAGTGTTTACTCTTTCCACATGTCTACATTTCACTTCTACTTCAAGTGAAACATGAATTTCATCTTGATGACGTTTTCCACAATTTCCTGAGCTACAATGAATTCCTCCTGTGAACTCTCTGGATACTGTTTCTGTACTTCTTTTAGGACCTCCCAACCTTCTACCTTGTTACTTTTTCTGATATCCCCTGGTAGACTGTAAGTGCCTAAAGGGCAGATTTCATGTTGGATCCATTTTGTATTTCTTAAGGGACCTAGCACAATAAATTTCACACAATAAATGTTTGTTAAATTATTTGTGGCATTTATTTTAGTATTTCTTACAGCCATGTACATCAAGTCAAACACTAAAAAGTATTGAACAACTATGATGGATTTGCTACTATCTTAGGCAGTTAGAATTCTGTTGGATCTATGTTTTAGGTAGCTGAAACTGATTGGAAATATCAGACACTCGTGCAAAATAAGCAATATTATATAAGCATTAATAAATGCTTATTACCATGCACCATCTCTTTCTGTTCTTAGGAATAACATGTAAACCAACAAACAATTATTCTGTGGGACTGGAGAGATGGCTCAGTGGTTAAGAGCACTTTATTGCTCTTTCAGATGACCCAGGTTTAGTTCTCAGCATTCAGGTGGCTCACAACTACCAATAACTGTCTCTTGGCCTCTGGCCTCCAGGGGTTCCACACACACATACACATATTTATACAAATACACACTTAACACACACATACACATACCTACAGACCCATACCTGCACACACACACCTACACACACTCACACCTACACACACACATACCTATAGACACTTACCTACATACATACATACCTACACACAAATCTACAAATACATACCTACATACATATACCTATAGACACCTACACACACACATACCTACACATACACATACCTACACATACACATACCTACACACATACATACACATACCTATACACATACCTACACACACACCTACACACACACACACCCATTCATATATTGATTATCATAAATAGCGAGGCTAAGAGCCCTACTGAAGCTCACCATAAATAAATGATGCCCCCAGTATGACAGCTAAGGTCTTCTGGCTCCCTGGCTGCAGCCATTTCCCTGACAGTGTTTTTTCCACCTAGCCCCTTCAGATGATGAAGTTCTACATTTTGACTGCACATGTTCTGTGGGAATATTTTCAGATAAGAAACAGAGGCTTTAGAACGGAAGCATACCAGCTGTCATAGGGTAGAAGAACTGGAGTCGCTCTAGGAGAAATCTGCCACCTGTCCAGAGTAGCAGGCGATCCTGATTGGATCTGCCTGTTGTCCTCAGTGTGGTTTGACTTGTTCTTGATCTAGGTAGAGATAATACTCCAGTGGTTTTGTTACCACCCATTCATGAGCAACACGAGGCCAATAAGCCAACTTGAGCTTCTGTCTTCAGCCCATCTGTAGAAATCAGCCGTCAGGATTAAAAAGTCGGTTATTAAACCCATGCTTCAGAAAGTTTAGTGTGTACATTTAAAATCCTCCTCAGTTTCTAAAAAAAAAAAAAAAAGGTACCAGTCTCTTGTTTTCTACAGTTCCCATCAGCATCCACTAATGAAATTCCACAAATTCCTCATAGGTCATGAAAGTTACAAAATGAATGTGTCTCCAGTGTCTCTGTCTACACAAAGGTTTCCATGGTGACAAAACCATCTTGTCCCTGAGATCCTTCTAGGGTCAGATTTGCAGCTATGATAAGTGCAGCGGTAAATAGATTTCAGAACCAAGAAAATTAGAATGTAGGAATGGACAAAAAAAAAAAAAGTCTGGAAATTGATGAGAACGTCAATCAATTGAACGTGTCAAACAACCAGTGTAGAGTTAGAGAAAGAGATTCCTTTGAAATATTGCTATGGGAGCCAGGGCCTTGCTGCAAGGCTAACAGGCCAAGCATGTCAGAGGTCAGGCAGAACCTTTTCTTTGTGGTTGTCGAGAAAAGGAGAATCAAAAGCCGGGTGTGGGAGGGAGCAAGTTGGGGAATTCTTTCTTTTTATGCAAAGTCATGTGGTGGTATTGTGTTCCCCAAAATATTGTGCACCCTAATAAACTTATCTGGGGTCAGAGACAGAACAACCACTAGATACAAAGGCTAGAAAATGGTGGCACTCACACCTTTAATCCTAGCACTCCAGAGGTAGAAATCCCTCTGGATCTCTGTGAGTTCAAGGCCTCATTGGAAACGGTCAGGCATGGTGGCACACGTCTTTAATCCCAGGGAGTGGTGGTAGAAAGAAGAAAGGTATATAAGGCATGAGGACCAGAAACTAGAAGCATTTGGCTGGTTAAGCATTTGGCTGATTAAGCTTTCAGGCTTTCTAGCAGCAGTTCAGCTGAGAGCCATTGGGATGAGGACACAGAAGCTTCCAGTCTGAGGAAACAAGATCAGCAGAGAAGCTGGCCAGGTGAGGTTAGCTGTGGCTTGTTCTGTCTCTCTGATCTTCCAGCCTTCAACCCAATACCTGGCTCAGGCTTGTTTTTATTAATAAGAACTTTTAAGATTCATGCTACAAAGTCACCTCTGAGAAGGGGGTTCTTCTACCTCCCAGAGCTTGATTCCTTTTTTAAAAAACTTGTTTAAACTCAAGGATAATTCAAAGATCAGAGCCTGGAGAAAACAAGCTGCCTAATTACACTTTGATTAAATTATCAAATAGTCTGTTCAGATTGGTAGCAGGAACTAAAGATTCAGTTTCTGAGACCAAAAGTAGGAATTTGGAAGATCTATATCTAGCCTCTTCATGGAACTTGTAAACAAGCAGTTCATCCACAGGCTCGCCTAAGAAATTCAAGGAAGGAGAGATCTTTGTAAGAAGCAGTTTCTAGAACACAAATGACTAGGCAATTTCCTGATGCTTGCTCTTTTCCAAATGCATAGTATTCCAGAACAGTCTCACCCCAATATATGAAAGCTGGATGCAGAATGCTAGGAAACTGAAGAGTGACAGATGGTTCCATGATTGCAAGGAGTACAAATTTGGGAGGGACTTCCAGAAGCATGATCCTGGGTCAAAGATCAGCAAGACCAAGAGGGTTAAAATCAAAAGAAGAGGGGTATATATTGGTCAGGACCAAAGGGACTTCATCCTAGGCAAAATGCATCTGCCTTCTTTCACTAATATCAGAGTCACTCGTGGGACCTTTGTCCAGCTGCGAAACTCTTAGCTTTTAAATGTTTATGTGTTTGTAATTTTTCTAAATTTCTAAGAGAGAAACAACTCGGCTTACCTTCAGACAATCGGTGCAGTTGTGCCTTGCAATGGATACCATAATGCCAAGACGAATCCATATACATAGGCTCAGATAAAGTTCAAAATGATCACAGATAGAAATTAAGCCTGTTGAAATGAGAGGAATGATTTCATAATTGCCATTGTTCACCCAACAGTGATTAAGAGAAAGCATTGTCTTAGAAAAAAAAAAAAAAAAAAAGGCATGGCTCTTTAGCAGAACTAATTCCAAAGTGACAGTGGTAAATGCTACCAGCGAAAGGACAGCACCTACTTTTGTTTTTAAAAATGCATTTACTTTTCTTTTATGTGTATGGGTGTTTTGCCAGCATTGATGTCAGTTCAGCACATGCATGCAGGTCCCTCAGAGGCCAGAAGAAGGCACAGATTCCCCAGAACCGGAATAACAGATGGTTGTGAGACACCTTGTGGGTGCTGGGAATCAAACCCTGGTTCTCTTGACAATCAGCTAGTCCTTTTAATCACTGAGCCTCCTTGTCAGCCCCAACAGATGCTGTTATTCTGAGCTTGCCCATCACCTCTTGACCTAGACTCCTGCTTGTTTCTGTAGTGCCGGGATGCTGTTTTGGACATGTTGAAAAGGTGCAACTCTGGTTTGTAAGTCAGTCCTTAAAATGTCAGGAAGAGCTTACATCTAGGGACAAAGTCAAAAGTCACAATGGGAGCAATATTGCAATAAGAGAAAGGTCTAGAACTCAGTCTGAGCTGAAACAAAGGACTGGAAAGCTTTTAAGAGCAGGGATGTAGGTATAAGTGTGTCTACTAATTTCCCAAGCAACAAAAAGTCCCTTCTATTTTTATGTCAAGAGACACAAAGCTTAAACTAGCAGTAAGACTCCTGACAAATGAGACTGCTGCCTCCCATGGAATTACAAGGTGGACACACGTTCTTCCTTGAATATTACATTTCAAAGGGATGGTTCCCACATCCTTGAGAAAAAGCCTCTGGCAGGTAAAACGGGTGTGAATCTGTTTTAAAATTTTATATCCCAGAGAGGCAGATAAAGAATTTACAAGTTTTCCAAAGCAAAGGCTGTAAGAAAAGTGAGATCAGAGAAATAGTGCGGAAAGAGACTTGTCTAAAGTTTAGTCAAGTTGGGGAGAACATTAAGGCACTCTGGGTACAAGTCAACTAGGAGAGCAGTACCAGAAAAGGAGGTATATTGAAGAACCCTGTCACAGACTTAGTGGTACAGAACAGTCACCTCAAAGCAACCAGAGCATCTGCAATTCTCCACTTTCCGTAAGAACAGAAGTTGCTGTGTCAAAACAGATCTCCTCTTGGAGACCACCCACACAGCACATGAAGACTCTTGGAGAACCAAGATCTGCCTCAAAACCACCCACTCACAGTTGAAGGGCAGACCTCCATTCTGGGGTGACTTTCCAAAGAAGGAAAGAGGCACAGTTGACAATCAAAGGTCAGTATTTCAATCCCCATGCTTTTGTTTTGCCAACTCAAAATGTACCCATTTTCAGAAACAAACAAAAATGCCTGAGCTAGTATGGATCTCTTCCTACACCCCAGAAATTTAGATTTATGCTCCGAAGGTCATGAGACATTTTAAATATGTGCTGGAATAAAATATTATCCAAAAAGTAATAATAAACTTGTGTTCTATTCTGAACTGGAGAGGTGGGTGACTTACAAAGATATATACATTAATTTATTCAACACATTTATTTCAAACCTGTGGCAGGCATTACACATCCTTAAGCGCTAGTGATTCAATCATGAACAAGAAACAGTACCTATTTTCAAGGGACTTAGCATCGTTGAGAGCACGCAGGCAGACAGAATTTTAATAACATAATAGAGCTGCATTGGAGAGAGGAGAGGATGCTATGAGAACACTGGAAAATGTCCAGATACATACAAATAAAAAACACCAAGAAGGATAATCAAGGTGACAGAGCTATGCCAGCCCTAAAATGGCTGCCTTGAGGTCCTAGACTCTGTCTTGGGGCTGTGCCATGTGATGGCTCTGAGCTCCA